GATTGGATCTGATAGACACAACATAGGAAGCATATTCAATGAATACTTTATAAATATTTTGACATTTGTTAAAAGTTGTCTTTAATCTTATAATACTGCACTCCACCTCAGAATTCTGAATTCCATTGCACACCTATAATAATTCAAAATCTGAAAATATTCATTTAACATGCTTACAATGACATATGAAAAAATTTCTGAAACAACCTAAGTTTCAAATAATCAAATGAAACCTTAATATATATTTATATACATTGAGATGGCAACTAGCTGTAAAGGAGAATAAATTAAAGACAATAATCAAATGAAACCTTAAATATTAATATTTTTGTAAGACCTGCTAGCTAGTCCTAGGAATTAATTTATAAGCAAACTGTTGAACATATAATTAGAAATCTTTGTAAACGATAATTCGGAACCCTAGAAACACAGTATATATAAGAAAATAAAAGTATATAGCGCTTTAGAATATAATCTGTAGGTCTGAAACGATGTAAAGTTACAACTTAAAAAGGTCAATCCTGTGAACCCCACCGAAGACTTTGAAACTCCATCCACAAATTCTTTAGATGTGCTGTAAACCTTACAAATGAAATCGGGTTTTGAAATTAATTGCATCGCCTTGCTCTTGCAACTGCGTTAGAGTACTTATGGAAGGTTACGTTTTTGACGTCAATACATTAAATAAACAGTCATTCGATCGGTTAATGAGAAGATTTGAAACAACACTTAAAACGGAATTTCAACAGAGATAGAGCGCTTCTGCCTTGTAGAAGAAAGCACAACTCGGTTGGCCTCTAAGTCAGGATGTGGCTTCCTGTTCGCTCAGAAATTAAATGAGAGGATTTTCCAAAGCAAAAAAAGAAGACTTCCTAACGTGAGTTTGAGTTTTTTATGTTGCCACTTGGATCCTATATATCTGAGTAGGTACTCGTTCTTTTTGTCATTTTTACAAATAAGGGATAGGCGATCTTTTGTCACCACATGAATTTCCTCTCCTTCAATTTTCAGAAGAACAAGAGTCAGTCCAGCACAGAAAAATAATGGAGTTGATTTTCATGGCCACTTGGTATATCGTTAGGTGAGGACAACTCTGGGTCGGTTGGTTGGACTGGACGAGTTCCAATTGGAGCACAAGCATTAACTGTTCGAAGGTTAACATGCAACCACCACCACCCGAATATGGCACATTGGCGACGAGGGTCAAAGTGTCCTTTTCTTTTTTTCCAACTGAAAAGCTACGTCTTGTCTACAAAATGCTGACAGAGAAAAATTATGATTACAATACGTGTGATATACTCATCAATTAGCTAAGTTGGTCTCCAACACACGAAGAACCCTACTCACACCTATACAACGGCTATACATGTTATGCATAGAGAAATATTTCCAATGTGTGGGCATGGATAGGGTTATTCTGGGTAGAAGATCCAAATGCACACAATTGGGATTAATTTATCACTCAAACCCATAACATCCAACCTTGGTAGCAAAATTTGATCCCAAGTAAGATTGCAACTTGAGCCGGGTTGGTCCAAATCTAATTCTAAAAGTTGGGTTGGATTGGGTTGAGTTGATGTTTGGGTTAGGGTTAGGATTGAAATTCATGAATCTGGCTTTACTTTGGGTTGGGTTAGGGTTGACCCCTTAGCCAATTCGATCCAACCCAAATCCAACTCTATAGTATATTAATATATAAATATATGTAATATAATATACATTGATTTGTTTAGAGGCATGATATTTGTATAGCCCCCACCACATAGTATCCTAATAAAAAAGACTAAAACCTTAATAACATTATTTTATGTTTTCTTTTGAAAATTTTATGCTTCATCTCCTCTACGTTGTTTACCACCCAAAAAAGATCTATCGTAAGTCATAACTCATAATAGACTATAGTCATTTATAACACTTTTTTTTTTTTTGAATTTTGTACCAGAAGAATAAAAAAAAAGCGTTAACAAACAAATACTAATAAAATATAGGATTAATATATGTAGTGAAAGTTGAGTTAAGATATAAAATCGAAAAATTCTATGAGGTCTTAAGAGATAGGAAGAAGGCTGGGTTAGACCCAACCTGAGCCCAACCCAACCCAAAATTAACTTTGGATTGGGTTGAGTTAGAGTTGAAAGAATTTAGTTAAGGTTAGGGTTAGGTTTGGATTGGATTGGTCAGGTTGAATTAGGATTAGAATTGAAATTTAGAATTTAGGATTAAACTAAGATTGACCTCAACCCGACTTACGGCCCTAATCCCAGGTGTACACTCCAAATGGCGAGAGAACCTATTAATAGAGTCATCACCAGTTGCTACATCATACCTGCACCCTGTTCTGTCCCAACCCATTGATCCCTTGTGTGTATAATGCATATATACCAAAAAATTATATTAAATATATTGTTCACCCAATTAAATAAATTCTTACACAATTAGTAAGTCGGGCCTCTAATAACAATGTTAAAAGAAAAGCCAAGGGTTGGAATACATAACTTCCACTATTCAATAATCTGTACTTGCAATTGACCCAAATTGCTTTACTTCTTTGGTTAAAATTGATAACACGCCTGAACACAATATCAGTGATCGCAATGATCATAGCAAATCGGGACTCGCCAAAATGTCACTAATGTCTCCCTACCCTTTGACCCTAAGATCAAGAAAGGGACATTATAAAATCCAATGGCTAATCACTTTCATTATTTTTCATACTTTGTCTATTCCTCTTTGGTCCGTTCACTCGGCCCATAAAACTAGATTTTTATTTTTAGAATACAAAGCGGGTGTAAACATGCTATGGAGTTTGGATGTTATATATAACATTAGACACTAGGGGGTGTAATAAAATTAAGGCCCCGTTTGGTTGATTGGAATAGAGGTCTAGAATCGGAATTAGAATGGCTGTTCTGATTTTATTTATTTGGGTGGGGGGAATTGGAATTTCATTCTCATTTTTGTTGGAATGACAATCTCCCGTTTGAGAGAATGGTTATTCCCTGTCTCTTTCTTAAGAATGAAATTAAATTGATCTCATTCCAATTAATTCCAATTCACACCCATTCCTATTTGAATCAAACAGACTATAGAAATAGATATTCCGATTCTAATTCTGATTTCGACTGTGAACCAAATGGATCTTGAGTTGAACCGGATTTTGGCATATCTTTACTTGGTTCCATTAAATATTCCTACATTTTAATTCAAATTTGGCTAAAAAAACTAATATGTTCTTATATTTTACAAAAGTTAATACAATATATTCTAATTGAGTTAGGTTTGTGAACTTTCAAGCCAAACATTTTATTAGTTGAATTCAAGTTTGGTTAATTAATTAAACTTACTCAAAGATTCGAACTTGATTAGCATCAAATTCAATCAAGCCTAATTGAATTCGAGTATAAAGTATTCGATTAAAACTTAAACCCCTAATAACCATAAGAGCTGAGAGGCGGTTAGAAATGAATTTGGATATGCTACCCACATGTTAAATCTGCAGGGACAGGGGAAGTCATGTATGGCTGGTCCTAGGGCTGTCAATTGCATTGGATTTGGTCCAATCTGATCCAATCATAAATGGATCAGGTTCAATCTAATCCAATAAAAGTTTTTGACCAATTTGGACCGGTCCACTTCAATGTCTGGACTGTTTAATCTGTTCAAATTCATTTTGATTTAGATTGGTTTTAACTCAAACCCGATCCATTTATATATACATTCTTATCGTATATCAATGGGCCAGATATTGACTTAGTCCAATCCAATTCAATATAAATTTGTTATGAATGGACCAGGTCTAATCCAATCTAATAAATATTTTAGACCAAGTTGGTTTAATTCAATATATTTTATTGGTCCGTCCAATCCATCCAAATTGATTTTGGACTGGACGAGATCCAATTCAAAACCAGTCCATTGACACCGGTTCCCCCAATAGTTCCGCTCCTGTAAATCCACACATCTCACATACAACAATTCCATCACGAGATAGAGATATTTGAGACTTGGGACAGTCATTTTCGTGTTAATAAAGGTAAATTTGGATATATTACCTAAAGACGTTAAAGCAACACATCTCACGTACAATTCCATCAAGCATCAACGAGACTATAATATAACCTAGTTATTGGTTGAGATGGCCACTTAGTGTCCATTCAAAGAATTGGAGACATGGGGAGGCCAGGCTCTCCATAATAAGATCATAGATTTCATATTCGTCCTCTTTTGCCCCATGCATGTGCATACCCCTAAGTCTTCTAATACCAACAATAAAAAAAAAAAAAAGAATGATATATGCGGCTGCAACAACCTGTGAGTAGACAGGGTAGGTGTAGGTTAGCATCTTTTGGACAGCAGATCCGGTCTATCGTTAGTCGTTAGAACTCTCTACCCTGCACAAAATGGAGAAACTTTGGCTGTCTACGTTCGACAGCTTGTGCTACTGTGTTAGGGTCCACCGCATAAAATGAATAAACGTGGCGCACAGGGAATTCTATTTGCAGCACAGGCTGTCTGTAAAAAAAAATTGGGAGAATGACCAATCACCCAGATCAAAATTTTATAGCCCTAAAGAATAGAGGCTCGGGGGAGAGGGCTAGTAGTAAGGGGGCATTTAACCGTACTTCTCCGAAAAAAATTTTCTGAATGAGTGATTGATTGAAGACTGGAGCCGCCACTGGGGGGCATTTTTGATATTTTGAAATGGTCACCTTCGAGGCTCGGATCCGGAAAATTTGACCACTCTCTCTCCCTTGGCCTTGGAGCAAGTAAACGTACAAAACAGGAAACAGGGACGAAACGCAGCCAACCACCACGTTTCATTTCATTTTGGATTAGTCAAACGTGTCATGCCATAATTTTTTAATTTTTTTTATTTGCTATTCTCCTTCATTTCTTCTGAGCACTCAATTTTTCCACGCTCTGACCAAATGCCCCCCAACGCTTCTCAACTTTTAACCCATACCAATAATGCTATTATAAATACCACTCCCACACTCCTCTCTCAAGAGACCGACTCCTTCACAGCTCTCTGATTGCTCGTGTCGTGTCCCAACTCTTTCTTCCAAAGGAAGACAGAGTTCCAACTTTTCAAGAGCTGTTGAATACTGGAAACATAATAGGGAGTTGTTCTGAAAATCTTTGCTCTGTAGCTCCAAATCTTCTGAACCTACCTTCTTTGTCGAAGACAATTCAGCTTCCATTCAATTCTTTACAAATTTGTCTTCTCTCTTTTACGTCTCCGTAGCTCAGTATCCGTGTATAAATAAATACCTGGGTACCCTTTTTATTTCGTTTCGGTTTCTTTGTTAATTTAGAAGTGGAAAAATAAAGACAAGATGGAGGGATTCGAAAGAGTGTGGGATTCGGGAAGGCGAGCAAGTCGGAACATGAGTAGGAGCATAAGCAGGAATATGAGCAGGAGTAATTGGGGCATGGAAGACGTGTTTACCAGGTCCATGGGTTCAAGGAGGAGCAGACATGCCGACGAAGACGAAGAGGCTCTGAAATGGGCTGCTTTGGAGAAGTTGCCCACGTATGATCGCCTCAGAACTACTATCCTGAAATCTTTTGTGGATAATGAGAATCAGGGGAACAAGTTCGTTCACAAGGAGGTCGATGTTCGCAAGCTCGACATGAATGATCGCCAAGAATTCATTGAAAGAATCTTTAAGGTCGCCGAGGAAGATAATGAGAAGTTCCAGCGAAAGCTCAGGAACAGAATCGACAAGTGAGTTTGTTTCTCTATCTCTCTCTCTCCCCCCATCTTTAATGGTCTTCTCTCTTATTATTGAACTTCTTTTTGTTGCGCTTATCTCTCCGAATTTCTTCTCTGAAAGGCATTGAATCTCTATTTCAGTGGTGGTTTCCAGGAGAGTTTGATGGTTAAAAGATAACTGACCCAGTTTTATTTGACTACTGGTTTTCTTAAATTAATTGGTTTTGATGTTCATCATTAAGAAGGGTTGCTGGATTTGTTGAACCCCCTAATCTTTTAAATATTATCTCTGACTTGGTAGTTTCAGTTGTTCTATGTCATATTACAACTACTCTCTGTAATATATATATATTTATTTATTGACAAAACAAAGGAATAAAGAACAATTCAAGGTGATGGGTTTCTATCTTTATTCTTTTCTTTTTCTTCAACTTAACTTCAACTTAATTCCCTATTAACTTTTCTGCTAAGTAATGACTAATGAAGGAGTTGATTCTGTCGTGCCAAAGTTGTTGGCAAATCGCAAATGGTCTGACTGTGCCCATGGCTTCAGTTTTTTCTTGGTTTGGTTATAGGCCAAGTCAATTTTTATGGGTTGAATTGACTCGATTGAACCGTGTTAAAAGCATTTTTGTTCTTATACTTGTACTGGTCACAAACTGTTTTTTATTTTGTTTTTTTAATAACCATTTCAACTCTTTTTGGTTGCAGGGTGGGAATTCAACTTCCAACAGTAGAAGTAAGATTCGAGCATTTAACAATTGAAGCCGATTGCCATATTGGCAGCAGAGCTCTACCCACACTCCCCAACACAGCTAGAAACATTGCAGAATCAGTTCTAGGTCTGCTTGGAATCAGAATGGCAAAAGAAACAAAACTCACCATATTAAAAGATGCCTCTGGGATAATAAAACCTTCAAGGTAAATTCATAGAGTTGCATATAATCCACTCTTTAATATATTTCCTATTTATTAAAATCAAAATTAACCAACAAACTCTCTATTTTTCTTCATTATTTTGTTACAGGATGGTGCTTCTGTTGGGTCCTCCATCCTCTGGGAAGACGACGCTATTGCTGGCATTGGCAGGAAAGCTAGACCCCAGCTTGAAGGTTGGTGAACACTGAAAAGTGATTACCAAATACCAACTAAAGTTGCATGGCTAATGGGTGAACTTGTCAACTCGGTCTAACTCGTTGGTGGCAGCTCATTGCCTCGTTCCGAGTCAGGCTTGACCCAGTGACATTTTTGCCCCTGGCTTTCTATGAAAAAAGAAAACCCAATACTAATAATGATATTCATCTCTGTGAACCAGGTTAAAGGAGAGATTACATATAATGGGCATAGGCTTAATGAATTCGTACCTCAGAAGACGTCAGCATACATCAGCCAGAATGATGTCCACGTAGGAGAACTGACCGTTAAAGAAACACTTGATTACTCAGCAAGGTTTCAGGGGGTCGGATCAAGATATGGTAATTAATTGATTCAAAATTTACTGCAAATCATCTCCACCTTTTTTTTTTTGTTTATATTAGATAAACTAAAAATGGGTTATATTACAGAGCTCCTTACTGAGCTTGCAAGGAGAGAGAAGGATGCCGGAATATTCCCGGAGGCAGAAGTGGATCTCTTCATGAAGGTAATCAGAAAAGTGACAGAATGCTTTGAACATAGTCTTCAATTATATATTAAATTAAACTTTGGTACCTACTCTTCTCGTGTTCTCTATTTCCAGGCAACTGCAATGAAAGGAGTTGAGAGCAGTCTGATTACAGACTACACGCTTAGGGTGAGTTGCAGGCTCTCTTAGAACCATTCATTCATTAAAATAAAATGAGAAAACGAAGGATGTTATTGTTAGGAGAGTCTCTTGTTTGTTTGGGCCTTGCTTTATGACTTTTTTGACTTTGGAGCGCATCTCTAGAATTTTCCAAAACAAATTGGTCCGCTACTTGTTATGATGTCCAGCTCTATAAGTGGATAAACAAGAGCCCATTGCCACCTATTGTTGGGTTGGTGAACGGCTTATCCACCGATTCAAACTTACCGAGACACCCTTGCACAAAGCCGTGTGGTGGCGAGGCATTGGGCCTCTGTCTGGGCCAATTTTGTCATGATCCATCTATAATATTGCTTTTACCAAAAAAAATAAGAAAAAAGAAATCTTTAATAATGACTGACGTTAACGTGAACTAAAATTGGAACAGATACTGGGGCTCGACATCTGTAGGGACACGATCGTTGGAGATGAGATGCAGAGAGGAATATCGGGTGGACAGAAGAAGCGAGTCACAACAGGTTACATTTTTTAATAATATATAATACTTTCCACTTTTTATTTGTTTTTATAGCGAGGGCATTATCGTCCAAAACTCGATTAATTTGAATATATATTTCATTTGACCAACAAAAAAAGGGTAAATTTTGGCCACTTCCGCCATCCCCACCTACTTACACAGCCCCAATTTCATATTGCCCACTGTTATAAAAAAAATTTCATATCGCCCACTCACATCAAGTATCAACTTCTACATCACCATCTTTACTCTTCTCATTTTTTTTTTATAAAATGAATAAATAATTCTCTTTTTTTTTATCTCCTCACTCATTAATAATTGCTTATAATAATTAATAAATAAAAAAAGCCCAAAAATGATCTAGTGGTGTAACAGCAACATGCACGAGATTGTGGGCTCCACGAATGCTGCAAATAGATAAGATGGGTTCATTTATGGGGCTTCCCTTCTTGCAGGAGAGATGATTGTCGGGCCCACGAAGACGCTGTTCATGGATGAAATATCCACGGGTCTGGATAGCTCCACAACCTTTCAGATTGTGAAGTGCCTGCAGCAGATCGTCCATCTCACGGATGCCACCATCTTGATGTCCCTCCTCCAGCCTGCTCCGGAGACGTTTGACCTATTCGATGACATTATCCTCCTCTCGGAGGGCCAGATCGTCTACCAGGGCCCACGAGAGTATGTGCTCGAGTTCTTTGAGAGCTGCGGCTTCCGGTGCCCCGAGAGGAAGGGCGTCGCTGATTTCTTGCAAGAGGTGAATTTCTATCTTATTGTTATGGAGATATTTTAAACTGGTAGCGTGAGAGGCACTGGATCATCGGATATAGTATTTTGAATGCGCAGTAGTTGCCAAGTTAGTTATTACAGTTAATGAACCAAGTGTTATTCATTTTAGGTTACTTCGAGGAAGGATCAGGAGCAGTATTGGGCAGACAAGAGTAAGCCGTATCGGTTCATAACAGTCACCGAGTTTGTGAATCGGTTCAGGAGGTTCCATGTGGGGCTGCGCCTAGAGAACGAGCTCTCAGTCCCCTACGACAAGAACAGGAGTCACAAGGCAGCTCTAGTTTTCAGCAAGTATTCCATCTCAAAAACCGAGCTCCTTAAGATTGCCTTCGATAGGGAATGGCTCCTGCTCAAGAGAAACGCCTTCGTCTACATCTTCAAGACTGTCCAGATCATTATAATGGCACTGATCGCAGCAACAGTGTTCTTGAGGACAGAAATGCACACCAACACCGAAGACGATGGGGCCATCTACATTGGTGCACTTCTCTTTTCTGTGATTTGCAACATGTTCAATGGCTTTGCCGAGCTCTCTATCACCATCGCAAGGCTTCCTGTGTTTTATAAGCACAGAGATCTCCTCTTCTATCCAGCTTGGGCTTTCACCGTCCCCAATTTCTTACTTAGGATTCCCATTTCCATCCTTGAGGCTGTAGCTTGGATGGTCGTCACATACTACACCATTGGATTTGCGCCAGAGGCTAGCAGGTAACGTTGCTTATAACCTTTCATGAGTTCAATTCCATCTTGAATCATTGATTATTTAGTCTGTAGCTGAAATCGTATCAGTGAAGTACACCATTATGTGATTTGTTGCTGTCAATTTGTCTCACTTTGCCAGACTATGAATAAGAGAAATGTGTTAGTAATAATTGGTGGTCCTCTTTTACAGGTTTTTCAAGCAATTTCTGGTGATATTTTTGATCCAACAAATGGCTGCTGGGCTCTTTAGGGTCATTGCCGGAATCTGTAGAAGCATGACAATTGCCAACACTGGTGGAGCTCTAACTCTCCTCATTGTGTTCTTGCTTGGTGGTTTTATCCTCCCTCGAGGTTAGCATCATATTTGCAATTCTCATTTTGTAATCTCATAATTAAGGCTTGCTTCTCCTCTAGTTCACTTAATTAACAAACCTGGATGTTTCTCTTTCTTCTTTCTAATTTTTGGGACAGAACAAATTCCAAATTGGTGGATCTGGGGCTACTGGGTTTCCCCCCTATCATATTCTTTCAACGCCGCTGCAGTCAATGAGATGTATGCTCCAAGGTGGATGAACAAACTGGTATATTGTCTTGCTCCTTTTTATTCATCAATTGCCATTGTCTGCTATGCCAGGAGTAACCCTATTTCATTCTCTATCTAACAATATATCAAAACATTATAGGCACCCAATGGCGATAGATTGGGCATCAAAGTGCTAAAGAACTTTCAGGTCTTCCAAAATCGCAACTGGTTTTGGATCGGGAGTGCTGCTCTTCTGGGTTTCGTCATCCTCTTTAATGTCCTATTTACTCTCTCACTTATGTACTTGAATCGTAAGTACTAACCACGTTCTTGTCCTAGATGGAAAATTGTATTGTTTATTTCACCAACAGAAGAATAATTTGGCCATAGCTGTGGTTGTTGGAAAAACAATCTGAAATAATCTGTTATGGCCAAATTATTCAGTTCAGGGAGAAACTACAAATTCTTTTTCTGAAATTTTCTCTTCTGTTTGGGTTGGAGCATTAATCATACCTTTTATTCATCGTCTTTTGTTCTTTCATAATAGCTCTTGGAAAGAAACAAGCAATTATATCTGAAGAAACAGCCAATGAGATGGAAGCCAACCAAGAAGAAACGAAGGAAGAACCAAGAATAGTTACAACAAGGTCAAGGAGAGAATCGGTTCCTCGATCTTTATCAGCTGCAGATGGAAACAATACAAGTATGAAATGTTGTAAAGTTGTGAATCCTCAAGTAGCTTACTCATAAAGAAATTACAGAGTTCCTGACATGGACTTGAAATCTTTCAGGAGAAATGGAAATCCGACGAATGAGTAGCCGAACCAATGCCATCGGACTTAGTAGAAATGTTGATTTGTCTCTTGAGGCAGCAAATGGAGCCGCTCCCAAGAGAGGAATGGTTCTCCCATTTACTCCATTAGCAATGTCCTTCGACAGTGTAAATTACTATGTGGACATGCCTCCTGTAAGATTCTCTTTTCCTCTAATGTTTTCCTTCTGTTGCAACTATAATTTTAAATTTACTAGATTTTCTAGTGTCATGGGTATTAAGATATTTCAAAAGTAATCATCATCATAGGATCAAGTGTTCACTGGCCTAACTAGCAAACTAATTTACTGCTTTACGTTAACAGGAAATGAAAGAACAAGGGGTGACAGAAGACAGACTCCAATTACTTAGGGGAGTGACAGGAGCATTTAGACCCAGTGTACTGACTGCTTTGATGGGAGTCAGTGGGGCTGGAAAGACAACACTAATGGATGTTCTGGCAGGTAGAAAAACAGGGGGATACATTGAAGGTGACATCAGAATTTCTGGCTTCCCTAAGAATCAAGAGACATTTGCTAGAATCTCGGGTTACTGTGAACAGAATGATATCCACTCCCCCCAAGTCACAGTTAGAGAATCATTGATTTTCTCTGCTTTCCTCAGGCTCCCGAAGGAAGTTAGCATGGAGCAAAAGATGGTAATATTACATTCAGTGTCCATTTCTCATTTTTATATGGACTAATAATAAAGGGATAAGTGCAAAAACGCTTATAAATTGAATTCCTCTTCCAGATATTTGTGGATGAAGTAATGGAACTAGTAGAGCTTGACAATCTGAAAGATGCTATAGTGGGACTTCCAGGTGTAACGGGTCTCTCAACAGAACAAAGGAAGAGGTTGACCATTGCTGTGGAACTCGTAGCTAATCCTTCAATCATATTCATGGATGAACCAACATCAGGTCTTGATGCAAGGGCAGCTGCCATTGTCATGAGGACTGTGAGGAATACAGTGGACACTGGCAGAACAGTGGTCTGCACAATTCATCAACCTAGCATCGATATCTTTGAAGCTTTTGATGAGGTAACTACTCCTTTCTCTCCCCTTTGTGTTAGTGTATGGCTGGTGCATGTGTGTGTTTTAAATACACAGAAAAACATTTTTTACATCTATGGAGTTATATTATTTTATGCACCAGTTGCTACTGATGAAAAGAGGAGGACAAGTTATCTACTCAGGACCTTTGGGCCAACATTCTCACAAGATAATAGAGTACTTCGAGGTATTCGTTTTCTTTATTCTTCCTATTATTAATAACCAAAAGTAGACTCCATATTATCAACATTATTAGTAATATTAGTAGGACTGCAGATTGAAGAGAAAAACTAATCTGGTCGACCAACCAACGGTTCCCTTGTTGCAGGCAATTCCTGGAGTCCAGAGAATCAAAGATAAACAAAACCCAGCAGCATGGATGCTAGAAGCTAGTTCTATTGCAGCTGAAGTTCGGCTTGGAATAGATTTTGCAGAGTACTATAAATCATCAGCTTTGCATCAGTAAGTGAATTCAAATTCCTCTATGTTGCCAAATATTGGAGCAAATAATAATGGCCACTTAATTTTACCCTCAAAACAAGTTAATGCATTTGGCGTTAGTAAACTTTGTTTGATTTAACTAATACATGTTATGTTATTGTGACCAGGAGAAACAAGGCATTAGTTAAGGAGTTGAGCATCCCACCCCAAGGAGCAAAAGATCTATATTTCTCTACGCAATATTCCCAGTCAACATGGGGACAATTCAAATCCTGCCTCTGGAAGCAGTGGTGGACTTATTGGCGAAGCCCTGATTACAACCTTGTCAGATACTTCTTCACCTTGGCTTGTGCCCTCATGTTGGGAACAATCTTCTGGAAAATTGGCACTGAAAGGTTAGTGTTAGTGGTCTAGGGTCCTGAACTTTCACTCCTTCAATTTATTGGACTCTAATTAAAAGTTTAAATATTATTAAGTGAGCGTATGGACTAAAGTTGTCTTTGTCTGGTTCAGGAATAGCTCCACAGATCTGACCGTCATTATTGGAGCCATGTATGCAGCTGTTTTGTTTGTTGGTATCAATAATTGTTCGACCGTACAGCCAATTGTTGCCATTGAGAGAACGGTGTTTTATCGAGAAAGAGCTGCTGGGATGTACTCTGCCTTACCATATGCCATCGCACAGGTGAAGAAGGATTTTATGAAATGCATGCACTTGATGCTATTGCTAATACTTCTGACAAATTGTAAACATGGATTCTTTTGCAATTTTTGAATTCATGATTTTTGACATATTAACCTTTTGGTCTATAAAATAATTCTGACTTTTGAAAGCCGAGAATTTATTATTGACCAATCTCTATTCTCTATGTCATAAACTCAGTACATGAACAAGGTTTACCAAAAAAAGAAAAGAGAAGAACGAAGTTTTACCTCTCTAAACCTAATATCATAGCTGCAAGCCTGCAACCTAAGCACATGCTAGTTAAATCACACATTAAAATTAATACAATCACTTATGTGCTGCAGGTGGTCACTGAAATACCGTATGTTCTCATCCAAACCACATATTATTCGCTTATTGTATATGCCATGATCAGCTTTGAGTGGACATTGGAAAAGTTTTTCTGGTTTTTCTTCATCTCCTTCTTCTCCTTTCTGTACTTCACTTACTATGGAATGATGACTGTGGCAATCACACCAAACCACCAAGTTGCAGCTATCTTTGCTGCTGCTTTCTATGGACTCTTCAACCTTTTCTCAGGATTCTTCATTCCTAAACCAGTAAGTTCATCTCCCAATGAGAACCATATTTGTTTTCACAATTATTATCATTTGTCCTAGAGAATGAGCATGTTTAACTAGCTACTATTTTGTGCACTAATAGCTTTCTGAATTTGTCAAACCTGCAGAGAATTCCCAAATGGTGGATCTGGTATTACTGGATTTGTCCTGTTGCTTGGACAGTTTATGGGCTGATCATATCGCAATATGGTGACTTGAATGACAAGATTGATGTGCCAGGAAAAACCGTTCCCCAGAGCATCAAATCATATATCACAGACTACTTTGGGTATGATACTGATTTCATAGGTCCTGTTGCAGCTGTTTTGGTTGGTTTTACAGTGTTCTTCGCTTTCATGTATGCATACGCCATCAAAGCATTGAACTTCCAGCAGAGGTAGAAATATATGGATCGGATGCCTTTTGTGGAGCACCTGATAGAACTTTAAGCACCTATATAGAAGTTCTTAATTAAATTTTTTCTGTAAATATATATTAATCATCAAGGTGTAGTCCGTAAGATGAAGATGTTGTTCTTAATATGCAGTGAGGGGGTCGGAGGGTATACTTGTTTATGTAAAGATGGCTATCAAATTTTGTTTTACTTTTCTTCAAATGAAGGAAGAACTGTTTGTTTTATTTTATTTTTTCATATATGCAAAGGACAGCAAGAGATCCAAAATGCTTCCAGTAAAAAATGTTACATCTAATAAGTTTACTTGACATCTGCACAATTCCTTTTTACTTATACCATAATGATTTCCAATTTTGTTCAACAAACGGAGAGTCACTGTACAATTGCTGATTTCCTCCAGTACCCAACAACTTGCTAAAGAATAAAGAAATTGACTAGACTAACGAATAATGCAGAAAGACTAATTAAATTGGAAATAAATATGAAAAAAAAAACTGAAACTATTAATTCAGGACAAAGATTGAGGGAACAGAATTCAGGACAAACTAATTTTCCCACATACAAGGCTTTGTTGAGTTGAGTAAAAATCCCAAGGATTACCATAAAAAGAGTTGAAATCCTAAAGCTTAGCTTGGGAAGAGGGCAAATACAAATATGTACAGTGCAAAACCTTGTATACAGTATTTCTAAATTGTACATATTAATAAAGGGAAAATTCTCTATTCAGTACCCGAATTTTCAAAACGTGTCTATCCAGTGCCTATCGTTAACAGCCTGTTAATCAACTGTTAAGTAGCATTTGAAAAGATGCAAATGCCCTTCAAGTGTCATTTAATTCTCTTTATCGGACATTCAAATGTTGACAAAAAATGAACAGTCTCAAATCCTTGACTCTTCTATTCAAGAAAGTTGGGGTCACGTCTCGGTGGGCATTTTGGTGAGTGGTGACTCCAACTTTCTTGAATAGAAGAGACAACGATTTGGGGCTGTTCATTTTTTATCAACGTCGGATGGTTGATAAAGAAAATTAGATAACACTCAAAGGGTATTTGTATATTTTCAAATGTCACTTAATGACAGGTACTGGGCTAGCACATTTTTTAAGTTCGGAGACCAAAATAGCAATAGGCCCAAACTACAGGGTACTAATCAAGAATTTTCTTTCACAGCTTGAGTGAATATGTGCAAAAACATTGAACATGGTTTGGCAATTGCCTTCTCTTGAAGTCTATTGTTTCTTTCTTAAATTTTTAAGTACAAATCAATTGCCTTTGAGGTTTGGTTTCTCTTTCCCAAGTTGAATTTGTTAAAGAATGCCAAGACTGGCCCTTCTGATTCTTCAGACTCATTGCAATATTTGATATGAAATGGTTACTAGGTATGGTGTGGATGGTGTGGATTGGGATGGTTTAAGCTTGGAAAGAATTAATTGGGACCCTTGATTTTGCAACTTGAATTCAATGTATCTGATGGATTCATTTGTGATTCATTCAGCATAGTAGGAAAGAAAAAGCAATCTCGATACATTTAGAAATCATTTCTCTACATTCAGAACAAAAACCCCGCCTATCAAGCATAGCCAAGATGATCACGTTCAAGTCTATCATTCTTGGGCTCTAGGTTGGAGTAGAGTTCGTCGTCTAACATTCTTGACTCCAGATCTCTCTGGCCTTGGGAGACCAACAATTTGAAAATAAAATTAAAAAAAGAAAAACAATAAAAAAGAAATCATACCCGGTGGGACTCGAACCCACAATCGCCTGATTAGAAGTCAGACGCCTTATCCATTAGGCCACGGGTACCGTTGCACTTTGGTGGCACACTTTAACTATTAAGTAAAAGCAATACATGAACCATTTATTGCCATTTGATTTCTCTCTCCCCTCCCAAACAGCATCCACAATTTTGATCCTCATAGAGTCATAGTTGAGGTTCTTAGGCAGGCCAGAAATGAAGAAAGAGTTGAAAGATGTTAAGACAACCTTGGAGAATTTATTTATTTTGCTTGCCCGAGAATGCGATGGGGAGAGAGTTTTGTGATATGAGATGTAGATATATTGAGAAAACCCTTGGGGGGTGTATAAAACAAACTCAGTTCAATGGTTCTCTCAATTGCACACGTCAAGCTAGAACTATCAATGGATAAGAAATAAATTAAGCTTAGATGGAACTCATGGAAGTAATAAGAAATCAATGGACATGACAGTACTGAATACAACTATTGTGTGCAAAGTAGGATTCAACATCACATTCAGAGGACAGAGGCACCCCTTGAGATCCATGCATGGGTTTTGCACGCAGAAACTTGATCTAAGCCTGCCCCCAGTTGACAAGGAGCGATGTTGAGTCCTCAAGCAATGACTATTAATTAACTGACACCTGGAAAGGATCAAGATGTAAACACATTAACTACTAAATACCAGTTGATGTTAAAACACTGGTGTATTCGCATTTTATTGAGGGGTCTCTGGGTTGTCCTGCCACCACGGTAGCGGGAAATGCAGATTGAATTGAGTCACAGCAAACACCAACGTTGCCTCTTGTTGGGCATCGGCCCAATATGCATTTATTTTGTAGAGGTCCAAATAAGAGGAAGAGATTGATATTGTTAATATTCAGGCCCAAATTACTTATTGGAGGACTAAGCTCTTCAACTGTTGTCATAGATCATCTACACAAAGTTCTCATCCGACGTTGTGTGTATAGAGTGGTCAAGAACTCAAGATACAGGCATACAGCTCATGACTATTATTCGCCATGGTGAATTCTTGAGGGACATGGCCTTTGTTATTCTTCCACGGGATGCCTGGTGTCTTGATGACCTTCATTTAACGCCAGATGGCCTAAAGATTAGAGATGACAATGTGGCAGCCTATCTAGGCAACCCAACCTGAACGAGGATAAGGATGGGTTAAGCCCAACCCAATTCTCAATATTGACATACGTACTCATGTTAATACATTGGCAATTAAGATGCAAGGTTTTTGGCTCATGGCTCTCAGAAAGGATTGTGGCCCAAAAAATGATTTGATTTTTTTTTTTTTTGAATTTTTACAATGCAATTTTTTATCTTATAATTAATGATTTAGGGGTCATTTGGCAAGTCTTTTTAGGAAGATCTTCTGGTGGCTTTGATAGTCAAAACGTATTGAGCTTTTGTATGAAGATCTAAGCAGTTTGAAACTAGTTTGGCTAGCGTAAGTATTTCTGTATTTTCTGCATGAGAATAAAGTAAGAAAGACATGAAAAGCTCTATTTGGAGCTTCTTAAAATGAGTTTTTCGCCTCTTTTCGGTGTGCTGACTTTTGGTGGCTAGCTAGATCTCTTACATACCAAATTGAAAAAGACCACAGCAATCTGCTCAGCTTATAAATAGCCAAAAGACACGCCAAATGGGGCCTTAGTTTTTGAGTAGAAATATTATTACTACTAGAGTCATATTGTCATGTGAAATAGGTATGATCCCAATTTGCTTGCTAAGATCATATAGCGTTGATTCCAAAACCAGCAACAACCAAATAAATAGTTATTCATTTGTGATGTATTTTAGAGTTAAATGAAACACAAATACTGTTGAATTTTAATCTCATTAGAGATTAAATCCAATGGGTTTGATTGATCAATTAAATGAAAATACACTCACATACATGTCTTGAAAAATAGTTTTTTCTCTTACTACAAAACCAGTTTTCAACTTATCTCACATTGGAAAATTATTGAACTTGTTTTGAATTTTTAAATAGGATTTTATTTACACTCTTTCAAAATATAAGAGAGTAAGGAGGCTTTAGAGACATACTTTATTTGCACCTACATGGTTTGCAAAGAACAATTGACTTTTGGTGTAAAGCTGACTATTGATGTTTCAATGGTTACAATTCAATCGGGTGTATTTAAGAGGCATTATTAAAAGTTGATAGTCATTAACTAAACACAAATACATGAATAAATAGTTAAACACAAGTTTTCGAAAATCATTATTATCTTACATAAAGATGTGAAAGAAAAATAATGGATAGGCTTGAGAGAACTCGCATCACCTACGAATAGGAAATTGCCGCATCAGTTTTAATTTTTAAAGTCCAATTTAACGGAAGTTTAGAGTTAATGGAACTTAAAATCCTAAAAAAAAAAAATGAATTGGCTTATCTCGCCCATTCCTCTTCCTCTCTCGTTCGAGCTTGTTCCCTTTTTCATCTCTGTTTCAAGTTTCAACCAACGAATAACCACCGTTGGCATTCACTTATCTCGCCCATTCTTTAACAAATTCCTCTCTCCGTTCTAAACAGGGGGAGTATGAAACTTACACTTGGATTACTGGTTGAAGGTCAACTACAATGCTACTTTTGATCGAACAGTCCTCCAGCTCTGCCGATTTTGGATGATGTATTTGGGACTATAAATGAAATCCTATAACAGCATGCATCCAACCAAATGATTCAAGCCTCCCTAACTAAGGAAGTAGAGTTTTTCCTCTTTTAATTGACAGTTTGGAAGTAGTGCAATTGGTTCTTTGGTGTATTATTTTGGAATTGGATATTGCGATAGTGCTAGCATTCAAGTTGGAGACTGCTTTTCTGGTGGTTCCTTCCCAAGGGATGCCAACTCTTAGTATAAACCTTGCTACGAGATCTAGCAACTTTTGTCATTTCAGAATTAAACCCCTATTTGTAGTTTTTCTTTTCTTTTCTTTTTTTGTTTTGATAAATAAGTGATTATGGGATAGGTGCTTGTCTTAATAAGTGCTTATGAATGTTTGATCCAAAAGCACTTATTTCAAATAGGGGTAGGGGTAGTATAGTTATTTTTAAAATGAAACAGTAGGCCAAGACAGGCTAAAAAGGAAATAAGCACTTACTAAACAAGTGCTTAAAAATAAGCTTAAAATTTGGACTTGTTGAATAAGTGCTTATTTTCAGGAATAAACACTTATTCGGTTTATTTCCCAAATGCAAATAAGTGCTTATAAGTATAACATTTTGTGTTCAACAAACTTCAAAAGAGCCTAGACTGTTTTCTCCAAAGAATATTGGTTGCAAAATTGCAATTATTATATTTTTACCTGCACCAATGTTAACATATCATGAAAGCTGAGTTGCTGATCTGTTGACCACAAGGAGTTCGGCTTTGCTCAGTGCAACACCCGATTGAGTTTTTTCAGAATAAAAAGAAAATAAATTAAGGTGGCATTTGATTGTACTTTTCAGCCAATAAATTAGAGGGCACCTATAATGCTCCACTGTGATGTAGCCATTATGCTGGACCATTACCAAACACACTGAGCTCACATCTGCGCCCCACAG